TATAAGCAGCTCATAACTGCAAGTAGAAGTCATTCGTTAAAAGAATTTGTAAGACAGTGATTGATATAGAAATACACCAACTGATGGATCCACGAGGTAGTTTTATCCAAATACAGTGGAACTTTCCTACAGGGAACACTTTGGAGACTAGAAATAGGGCCTCATGAATTGATGTGCCCCTTCCTTGAAGGTAACAGCTGTTGGGGCTGCGTCGTGGAACCTGCATGTAGGGATCACCGTTGGAACTAGAAAGAGTGACCTCATAATAAGAGAGTCCCTTAAGTCATAATTGATATAGAGATGTTTAAGAAGACAAGTTCCATTGTAGTCCCACCTAAAACGTTTTTTCTTTCCCTTTCATTTTTGTGAAAGAATTTGACACTTAATTGCTTGAACTGACTTGGATTCTATTTCCTGTTTTCCTTTAAATTTTGTAGTTTAAACTCGGTCTGCATATCCAACGACTCGAGCCTGTTGTCCGGTGGATTTGAAGACAGCAGTGTACGTGTATGGAGCCTCACTCCTAAGAAGCTACGCATGCTCAAGTCGCCTTCGGAGCTCGCCCTAATTGATAAGGAAGCAGGTTAGGACTATACACAGGAAAATCTCGCGTTTTTTGCGTAAGTAGGTGCTAAAATGAGTATTTGGATTTGGGCCAATGTGGGAGCGAACCTTTAATTTTGTTGAGATATCCTATTCGCATTCGTCAGAGTACTTTATCATGGTCGTTAAAGCAGGGCAAGAGTAAACAGAATAGGCAATCAGATCATTAGTTCAAGCCAGGAGAACGAAATGAGGACTCGAGGTACACTCTGGTTGAAAAGTCGGAGTATGACCTTGTAGTTTTGAATGATATCAATCGTGTTCGTTTATGGCGTATGTTCGAAAGATTTTCACGAATTAAAATCCTGATGAAAACATTCATCTGTTCAACAGAGGACGTACTTGAAAGAATAATGGACCACAGGTTGGTTTTTTTTTTTCTACTTTTCCTCTCGATTTCATACTAACTTTTGGTAGAAATCAAGTGATTTACTTGCGGTTCGCCTCGTTTTATTGGACTTTTACATCTACCTCGTCCCAGGCGTCGTCCCATTTTTGTCAGCAGAGCAGACAAAGAGATTAAAGAGAAGGCTGACAGGTCTCCATATGCGCGTGCATCAACACCCTGTCCACCGCTTTCGTAATGGAGAGATACTTGGGTACCAGGCAGCATGCAAATGACTTCTTTTAGAACGCACAATATTGAAACTTCCGTCTGGAATCGTCATTATATAACTGAGAAATACCTTGGTACTCTTTTTATCTGGGACATTGGTGAAAAACAAGTTGTTAGGCGTGTATTTCAACCCTTTAACTTCCGAAATGTTTAGTAAACAATTTTTACCCACAACTTCTACTCATAATTTTTCAAAAGAGGTGTTGAGAATGAAAATCGTATCAACTCGACGGTTTTATAGATTATTTATTCTAATTTTCTAGGAAATGTACTGAAGCCATAGGGGAGTTTTCTTTTTTCATTACTCTAGAACTGCTGTAGAGTCGAGAAAGTTGATTGGTCATTCTGGGCCCGTATTCTCGACGAGTTTTAACAACGACAACTCCTTTCTTGTCTCCGCTTCTGCCGACAGAACAGGTACGTTAAGTTTTTCCCTCCCTGAATGGCTAATGCACTATGGTGAACTTCTTTTGTTTTAGATTGCTTCGAGTCCCAGAAAATGTCTTTGTTAGACAAAGGACAAAAATCAAGACTAAATATCAATCGAAGATTAGAGCTAACTGCTTTTCGAACGACCAGCCCTGGAGGGCTTCTAACAAGTATTAAGACATTATAGAAAAATAATTCTTGGGCACCACTTTAAATCGCTACAAGGCTTCAAGTTAGAACAATGTTCTATTTTTTTAATCGATGTTTCTATCTTTATGGTTACCGTTTATCTTATAGTGAGAATAATCTAATCCTAAGTAGTATCGCTCTCATTTTGATTTGAAAAGTAACTTATGCTAATTGTGCTGCTTGTTTCCATCAAGTTCGCCTTTGGAGTCTCTACACTTTCAGTTCCTTAGTTTCGTTCAAGGGACATAACTACCCAGTGTGGGACGTGCAGTTCTGGTAGGGACTATTGATTTCTGAACTAATGCTTTACTCTTTTTTCCATAAAATGAATTCTCTTATTTCCTAAAATAGAAATTTACAAATTCGCGAGGTATCCTTTTTTGAGGAATTTTAGCCATTTCCAAAGTGTTTAGATGATCGGCAAAGTGTAGAAATAGATGAAAAACCTCTGTGCGAGAAAGCCAATAGGGGCAAAAAACACAACACAGTTGCTGGGGTGAATTCTAACTCCTTAAGTACATTTTGAAGCTTAGTTACGTAAGCAAATGGTTGCACTCTCAAATGTGTGGAATCTCTCCCCAGCCCACGCGGACACTACTTTGCATCAGCATCACATGACCGTACGGCCCGACTGTGGAGCACAGACCAACCACAACCACTTAGGATCTTCGCCGGTCACGTGTCTGACGTCAATGTATGAGAGAGTTTTGTTGTATTGTCGTATAAATAAGATGTGCAACTCAGGGGCGAATTGATTCTCGTGGATAAACTGCCTGCAGTTAAGGCAACTTGATGATGTAAGGTCGGAAAAAAAGAATTAAGACCTAACGGAACTTTTGAGAGCTTTACTTCAGGCAATTTCTTTAACTGTAGCTTAACTGCATGGATTAATTTATCACGTAAACCTTTCAAGGGATACGTATGATTTAGTACATCATCGTTTAGGATGTTTTATTGATTTGCCGTCGGTTGCTTAGGACTGAAATAAAATTGTGTGTAGAATGCTGTCTGGTCGTCAGCTTGAACTACTGAAGTACGGGGAAAGCCTCTAATCGCTCAGGGTTCACGGGCTCTTTCGGAGGGAAGGGGAAAATGTGATTGCAAATGTTGAAGCAAGTACTTTATATCTTCTAAATCTTGAAAAAACTTCACCTGAATTTTTCCAAGTTGGTCATTTTCATTTCTGTCCTCTTCTGTTTTTTTTTTGTTTGTTTGTTTGCACATCATATTTTGTTGTTTTTCTCTCTTATCAAACTAATATTTTATGGCTTACCTCATCTTGGAGGCAAAAGTTGTGCGTTCTTAAAAAAGGCTCAGACTTTTCTAATGTAGATTATTTAATCCTTGGGCCTCCTACGCGTTTTGTGATTTTTTGTTTTTTTTCCCTCTCTTTAGAGGGTCGTCTTTCATCCGAACTGCAACTACATCGCCACAGGGTCATGTGACCGGACCGTCAGGCTCTGGGACATAAATACAGGCAGCTCGGTTCGGTTTTTCACGGGACATAAGGTATGTGTAAGAGACTGGGTAGTACTGCCTTTGTTCTCATTTTGGGTGATTTTATTTTGGTAACTTTGTAACTGCCATGATTTCTTGCCTCATCTTACAGGGAGCGATATATTCACTGGCTTTTTCACCTGATGGCCGTTACCTTGCTTCTTCGGGTGAGATGTGTTTTGTTTCCTGCCCTTTGGGACCAACACAGCAGTCAAACGCCGGGCATACGAGTAACAACCGCTGTCTCACAAATTAAGCGAAAGACAATTGAATCCTTTATAGAAATCTGCAGAATGCAACAAATTAGGGAAAAGGTGAATTCGAGACGGGTATCCTGTTGAGTTACCATTCTTTTTCGAGCTTCACTATATAACTTATACGCTTTTAAAATACCTTACCTTGCTAGCTTGTTGGATTGTTTGTAATTCGCGTGAGACAACTGGATCTTGCCGGCCTGAAAGCCCGTCACCTGGTCATTACCACGTTGGCACATGCGCAGACGTTTGACTGCTGTGTTCTTGTGACCATCTTTTCATTCGCATGGTATCATAAGACATGTTCAGGAGTTGTTTCCTCTTTATGAGATTTCGCTTAGTCTTTTATTTTATGTGTTCTCTATCTGTTTCCTTTGCACTTTTCACTAGGGATTCCTTCTAACGTATACAAGGAAGTTTGCGTTTTGCCTAACTTTTGGCTCTTTGTTCCAATTTTCGTTTAGGCGTTGATAAGCGTATTCTAGTATGGGATCTAGCAGAGGGGACATTATTGACAGAGCTAAAAGGACACTCAGACACAGTGTACTCTTTGATGTTTAGTAGAGATGGGAATTTGCTGGCCTCAGGTTTGTTTTGCTTGTGCTTCGAAAGAAGTCAAAGAAAAAAACAATAAAACTAGTAAAGCCTCTCGTCATCTTTAATGACTTCTTTGGCTTATCCAAGTTATAGTTTTCATGTTTTTTATGGGTAGTGCGCTGTAAGTACATTACCCACATTGCCTTAGGCTATGAGTGAATGAG